TTTATTACTCACTTTTATTTCACCTTCAAACAACAGAGGCAAACCAGTGCTCTGCTCGAGATGTGAATGTTACAGTTCGTGTGCTAAAAAGATTTCTCCCCCAATCTTATTGACTCACAGTTACATTGCAGTGAGTCACGCCACACAAAGCAACGTGGTGTCATACAAAAGTGAGTGCAACAAGCTGTGCACAAGTCTCAGCAGACCAGTCACACTCCACACAAGCTGTTAATTCTGTAATTCCACCTCCCTTATGCCTTCACCCCCAAGAACAGAACATGCCCTGCTTATACTGCTGAGCATTGTGTGTTGGTGAGTAGACATGTTCTTGCACAAGGACCATTCACACCTGTATGCTGTTAGCCTGTACCGATCTTCATGGATTTTTCTCTCTGTCTTCGTTATGATGCATCCAAGCTCACCAAAGTGAAAGAAGGAAAAGGCATGTCCTGTCCTTGCATTCTCGTCAGCGCTTCCTCTCTCGCTGGCAATAAATCATAATCTATTTGCCTGACTGCTGCCCTGCTGCTCTGGATCGTTAAGTACTGTCTGCCCATGTGTGCCCTCTGGTGTCTGTACCCGTGTCAGCGAGGACTATGGATTTGTGAGTGTTGCTTACTTTTATGCAAAACAGATCTTCCCTCATAGCTTGAGAAAATGGGAGACGGAGAACAAAAAAATCAGGGGGAAAGTGGGACAGGAAGATAGCACTCAAAGGGGGGGGGGGGGATTCAGTACTTTTTGCATCCTGTGAAGTTGTTACAGAGCTGGCTGACAATAACATCAGCAGTATCAGTGTGCCTGCTATCAGTGCTAGCAGCATCAATAGCTCTTTGAATGTGGGGGCTCTTTCAGTCAAGACAGATTGTTTTGTCAAGAGTCGACCAAAAGCTCTTTCAGGGGGAACCTGCATGCATCACAACCCAGAAAACAATCCAGTAACTCCACAAGCAAACACCAAACTATGATTTTTCTTCCAGTGAATGCTGTTTTCCCTTTGTGTCACCGTGATTTATGGAATGGGTGGCAGCATTTGTTCTCGGCTTCATTGGGTATGCGTGCATCAATATGAGTTAATATGAATTCATGAGAGAAGGAGTTTATGAAGGAGGAAGTTTATGAATGCCATGGACTGATGGAAGTTTACTGCTAGGGAGTTGTGTGTGTTTGTGTGTGTTTAAGAGAGAGAGAGGAAGAGCAAGCGAGTCCATCCGCATTGGATGAGTTATGAATGGTAGGATGTGATTTGCTGAGGCTGTCAAAAAAGTGCCTGGTTAACTTGCAGAAGGCCCTATAAGCATCATTTATCCTCTGACATGCTGACCCAATCCTTCTCTAACCCCCTGACAAAAACACACACATATACGTACAGACCCAACTGCACATACGGAGTAAATAAACCCTCATGTTGTTGCTGGGCTCAGAGGTCAAAATCCAACGCAGACTCAACCAGACCCTGATGCCTGCAGGGCATTAACCTTGAGTTTATGGTTAAAGCAGAACTACATGGCTGGGAGAGGTGCTGGCAGGATTTTAGTACATGATGGTTGTTGTGAAAAAACTGATCGATATGTTGTTTTAATCTCCAAATACTGCAAAATGCATATGGTTGGAAGGAAAACAGGAAGATGCACTGAATGTATTTTATTGCAATAAACTGACAATAGCAAAGTGCCTTTTTCATGGTCACGATGGCAACTATTTATAACAAATGGAAAAATAAACAAACCATGGTCATATAAAAATACATCACTGAAAATAAAGCATCACTGGCTGAACTGAAAACATCACCACAAACTATTTTACACCTAAATCTGGAGCCAGCACACAGCCAATACATGCAGCCCTCGAAACGCAGCTACAACACTGTCAGAACGTTCGTAGGAATCTTGGGAGGCAGCTAGGGATGGTATTAATATTATTAGTAGAAAAGGAAAGAAAAACACCATTCAGAGTTTGACTGTACACCCCCAGTCATGGCGGCGGCGCTGTGACATCACACACCACACGCAACCTGCACATCCTGACTCAAGTCTAGAAAGATGAAATGAATTTTGCATGAATTCAGTGTGGGATTATGTGATTTACACACTGAAGCTGAAGCAGCTGTTCAGTGGCACCATTTATACAACTTGCATCTCTGGGAATGTTCAAGATTTATAAAAGGCAATCATTCAGCCAACAAACAATCTCCTGCAGTTTTTTTTCCCTTTTTTTTTCTTTGCTTATGAAAAACTGAAATCATCTTCCTATTAGAATTTACTGCCAATGCAAATGCAAGTCAATAGCATATGCAGCCATTACTGTCAAATCACACAAGAGCTTTCCAACAGCTCCATCAATTATTTCTGGTGATGCTGGGGCCAGGAAAAGCACAGAATGGCTTTCCTGCAGTTTTGATATACAGTATACATTTATATGTTGACTTGCACTGGCATCACATCAAAAAGCAACAGGAGGCTAAAGAGTCCACACACTGAAAATTGCGATTCAATGAGGCAACATTTCGACCACTGAGGTCTTTGTTAAGCCAACACCCATGTGTAAGAAAAACAGGTGATATATACAAAGGAAACGACAGCTCCAATGAGATCAAAATATTGTCACAAATTCATTTTCCTCATGCACAATCACAGTATTGTACATATGTCTGCCATTGTACATGTGTAAAAAAAATGTATTTATACAGTTTCTATTTATTTATACCCTGCATATGCTATTAGCAAGCCTTAGTGTAGTTGCCACTTGAGTTTATGCATATAGTGGATAATATTCCTTATATGTATCATGTGCTCTTGTAACAGTAGTTGGAGATGTCATTTTCTGTTTTTCTCTGGATGTTTGCCTGAAAAAGACTGATGGTTGAAATGTTGCCTCATTAATAGGGTGGGTATTGTTGAAAAATGACAATACCAGTACCTTTAACGTGGCAGAAATACAAATTAAGTACTTCATTTCATAGCAGTCATGTGAATGGAAGCATTCAGTTGCGTAAAACACTACCAAACATCACGGGTGTGTTGTATAGCCATACTTTGGAATAGTGGTTCCGATCTGGTCCAGCCACAGGGTCCAGATTTCTCCTTAGTCATTAATTCAAGGTCCACACAGTTTAATATATTCAGTGTCATACTTGAGTTTGGCCGTGCCATCGAGCTAGTGTCCTGTCTCTGTAGCTGTCCGTTAGTCACTCACTCTACAACAGGAAAGGGCACTTTGAAATAAAAACTGTATGCCGGAAATTCACTGTACTACTTGTGTTGTTTAAGAATCTTCACACATTCACGAGTCACTTGCGGTCCACTCAGAATGGACCCACGACAAACTTCTGGACCACGACCCACCAGTTGGGAACCACTGCTTTGGAATAGGCTCGGTGATCGGCGCACAATGCATGCTGGTTAGTTTTGTGCCCGACTTCATCCCGACTTGCTCTGACGTATTACAAAAGTGGATGGCGATAAAACCGCGAGAGCAAGGTGGCCGCAGTTTTTAGAGACAGGCGCTGCAGTTGCTCTCCACCGACTGTACCGCCTGGCTCTCACCTGATCTAACAGCTGATTGGTTTAGATGTTGAATCAACAATATGACGTTTTAGATAAACTATTCATTTTTGTTAGAGATTAAGATTGTATTTGTCTAATTTGAAGGTTTATTTTAATAAATTAATCTATCATAATTAAAACAACTGGAGACTGAAAACAAACTGATATATGGGTCTGATCACTTTTTTTAATGAATTGACATCATTCCAGACAGGATGTGAGTGTGTCTGTGACTTCCTGTACGGACTGAAGGCTGCTGGAAACTGTCCGACTTCACCGCAGCTTTTTGTCACCGCCCCCCGCTGCGGCCGCCTACTCTCGTCTACTTTTCAGGCGAGGCGCAGCTCATCTCGAACGAGCCTAAAGTTTAGGTGGCACCACAGATCCCCTTTTCCACCAAGTTAACTCTGCTTCTTGAAACCTTGGAGCTACCTAGTGAGCCAGCTCACGTTTCCACCTGTTTTAAATAGAACTACTGTAATCAAGCATGCGTCATCAACAGAGGGTGTCACACAATGCACAAGGGAAGTTAACAGTAGTAGCAAGATGGCAGATCGCACCTGCCATCTGTCAACCAGCGAGCTATTACAAATATTTGTTTTTATCCAAAAAACAGGCAGGGACCAGCTATTAATAAGACCACTGCACTCTTTTTTATTCTGATGATTTCTTACTTAATGTCTCTGTTGTTGCCATCTCCATCCTCTCTTCCCAATCTATAGAATATGACACTGATGTCATCATGGTTAGCACCTCAGATCAAGGAAAACCTTCTTATTTTGGTTTCAACTGGGATCCAACTCTTCAAGTTCTGAACCAATTAATTTTTGGTCAAAATGCTCCGAACGGCTCAAAATCAGGTATGGGTACTGGAACACAACCTGTTCCATGTTGGTGGAGAAGGGGTTGTAGCTGCAGTAGTGGGCCGATCACATGTCGTATTAAATCGAAGAACGTTTTTTCTAGATCTGGGTACAAAAAAGAATTGAATGCAGTTCTCATTTGATTGGATAAGTTTCAGTACGACTTGATATTGGTTCATTTCAGTAGATACCTTCAAGTTATCAAGCACAGACACCCAGTTCGGCTCATGAACTATTTGGAAGGTTACAATATCAAGTGTGTGTACTACTTGTCTTTTACCATTGTGTGCTGCTTTTGTCCAGCACCTTGTTCCCCTTGAAAACACCTGTAAACGCATGCTGAATAATGAGTAGACTGGCAGCTAATCGATGGACCTTTTCTTTGAAGACGCTGATTAATCTAGTTGTAGCTGACTTGCTGCATGTGCATCACATCTAGCTCCTTCCAACTCCCCTGACTTTACAGCACCAGCCCTGTTCCACATGGAATAGGGTGGCCTACTTAAAATGGACTGGTAACCTTGAAAAACAGTGAAGGAAGTTGAAATATCAGACCTCGGTGACTTGTGTCAGTATCAGCTACTGTAAGTACTGTTTCTTTTGGACATAAATCTGTTTAATGAAGTGCTGCATAAAAGCAAAGCATTAAAAAGACAAATATGAGCTATAATATCAAACACAATCTCCACAACACCCATTCTTGAAATAGATTACTTGACAGGTTTCAAAGGGCATCTGGAATTGGCAGTCAAATATCGTAGATAACAAGGGACTGGGCGTTGTGTTGACTCTTGGCTCAGGACGTCGGTAGGAGGAGGGGGAGGGGGCACTGCTCTGTCACACAAACACAATGCTCAAAGAGTTCAAAGTTTACAAAACATCAAAATTCCTCCCGCAGTATTGTCATGCAATATACATGTTGACACGATTGAGACAACAATGTCAAGTTTTTCAAGAGTTCTCATGTCCGGTCTGGCAGTGAAAGGGTTAGGCCCAGGTCGGGGTAGAGGATTTCACACCTCTCCTGGCTGTTGCATTCCAGGGAAGGTGACACAGATTCTCAACCCTTCTGCCTTGCATCAGGGGAGCCGAGGATGACGCCTTTCAGCTAGAATCCGTGATTAGAAGACGTCTTAACAGTTCGGTTTCAGCTGTCTTTGATCAAACATCCTACCTAGGTGTTACATCACATTTTCACTAAATAAACGCGACTCAAGCAAAAAGCATTAAGTGAATTCGTTTTTGTGACTTGTCGGTTCTGACTATTGTACATGTAGAAGCCACAATAATTTCATTATAGGTATAGATATACAGTGTTTTGACACTGACCAAACTTGACAATCTGGTATGAAATGCTACAGACTGCAATGCGCAGGACAAATCTAGCATTTCTACATCTACCACATTGCCAACACACAGGCTATTGACATAATCTGCTTGGTGCAGTTGCCTGGCAACACAAGCAGCACAGTTCTTAGAGAATTTCAAAGCAAAAAGAAAAAAAAATCTTACAAAGCTATGCAAAGTAGTAAAAAAACAATAAATAGAAAAATCTTTAAAATAAACACAAAAGTCAAACATTTGTCCCCGTTCGTCATTTTGTTTTCTTATAATGTGCAGAGAACATTTGAAGTGTTTTACTACACATCTACACATTAGTAATCTTCAGTGTGGCTCTTAGCAAATCAAAAGTCTTTTTTTTTTATTCTCATCTGCCTCTTTTGAGCTGATATCTTTTAAAGACTGGACGGAGTGGTCATACTGGGCAACATAAAGAAATGTGCAAGACTTTAATTTCAGTCAGTAACCCTCACTGTGTAATTTAAACAGGACAATTCAACTGATTTAACACGAGTGTAAAAATTGCCCTTTTGCCCTCAAGGCCCATAAACCCACAGCAGGAGGTAAGCAGACATATTTACAATCTGCTTCAAAAACCAATCAGCTTCGCGACTCTCTTTAAAACTTCAAACATCAGCTGCGGAGAGCAGCGTGGAAATAAGGAGGTCTTGGCACTGAAAAAAAAATCCTTTATGTGAGAGTACGTATATCCTCAGCAGGAGAGCGCTGTTCATTTACTCCCCATCATCTGCGATGTTCCTCCGTCTCCTTCTCCCTGTCTCTTTTTCGGAGGATAGAGGAAAAGAGCGGAGCAGTCTCTCGCTAAGGCCAGAGTGTCTGGCAGTGTTTAAGTGGTGCATGAGGACCTGTTTCTGTCTGCCAAGGCAAATTCATTGTGGAGGCAGGTGGGCCAACACACATACACACATCCTCACTTAGGACACAGACTTGTGTGTCCTTGCCTTTGTCTCTATGCAGGCTGGCAACCAAGTCATCAGCTACGGAGTCAGTGGGCGCAGAGAATCACTATGGCAACCAACATAGTGGGCCAGGCTGTGGCTGCTCTTGGATCAGTGCGGAGACTTTTTTGGCATCCACTGAGTGCCGGAGTCGGTTATAGAGTTCCTTCTCTTAAATGTTCTTCCCGGATTGGCCGATGATCTCATGTGCGCAGTTTTTTTTTTTCCTTTTTTTTTGAAAAATAGACAGATATTCAGAGTAATAAAAATCAAAATGCAGCTATGAGTTTCACAGAAAACAAAAAAACGAGAGAGGCTTGTGATACTCTCTTGTCCTTCAATTCGCACTTGCACAATTGACCATGCTGACATGGCACACCCATACTAGTCCCCACACGCACGCACACACACACGCTTGCACACATACATACATACAGTTGTTAACATAAAACAGGCAGCCACCAGGGTAGGGTTTTTTAAACTGATCAACTGATTGACTAACTCAACACAGCAGTGAACGACAGTAAGGTCTGAAGGTGGAGTCCAGATCTGCTCCCTGGCATTGTGTTGGCTGGATCAGCGATGCGCGTGAGTCAGGAGGGGGGAGCACCCTCGCTTAGTCGACAGAGCCAGGGTGTAGGCTGAGCGCAGGTGGGTCCAGACATGTGGGAGAGTAACTGAGGTGAGGTTCTTTAATCCATAGGAGGGGGGCGCCGTTTTTGCCTTCTTGGCTCTTGCTGTTGTTGCGGCTCTTGTAGCGCACCAGCAGCACGGTGATGAGGAGGATGCCGAAGATGGGGAAGGGGTAAAAGAAGACGAAGTAGAAGAGGGAGTCGTTGGAGCACACCACGGACTGGAGGGTGGACGCTGTTGACAGAGAAAGTACAAATCAAACTTTTCGTTAAGTCCTGAAGAAACTAATCTCTGCAAATCCTGAAAAAACTACAGACTGAAATGGCCTTTGAAATTGTATTCTGATTTCATGACTCATTTAGCATGCTGAATGCACCTCTTACTGTTATAAATGATTTTCATCCAGTTGTTGACACTGGCGAATGAATGTATTTGACTGCTTTACATCCGAGCACAGCTTTTGACACCATTAATCACTCAGCTTTAATGCTTAACAGTGGGTGGCCATCTCGGCTCGGCTTTTAACTGAGCTTGTTCCTATCTTTAAAATAAATGCTGCCAGTGGGGAAGCCAGATCATCCACAGATGACATATAGAGTACCTGAGAGCTCCTTAATTGGCCCATAATATTCTCTAGTTACATATACTGTAACACAGAGGACCTATTATGATTGGGCAATATGGCACTATATATTGTGAGATGAAAGATCCAAAGAAGCAGCAGTTAATTAAATCTTGTGCTATCTGTGAAGAAGCTCCCTGGTCTTAAATTGCCAGTGTAATAATAGGAAACAGTCATTGATACAAGTACGGTTTTGTCACCGTGTTCATTTCCACCTGCATTCAGAGGAGCTTAAAGGATTTAGTTAATTAAGGACTTACCTTGTTGCATTACATTGACGATTGTGAACCCGGAGTTGTTGGTGGCCAGGCGGTACCACGCATTGCGGGGGTTGAGCAGCCACTCCTCCACATGGCAGTAGTATCGGCCGGCGTCTGACGGCCGTGCTCCTTGTATGGTCAGGCTGTACTGGTCAGAGGTCATCCTCTCAAACTGCAGGCGGGAATTAGGCCCTGGCTCTTCTCTGGGGCTGCAGTTTCCGTTTCCAAAAACGGCATCGTGGCCGATGGAGAACACACACTCTCTCTCCTCCTCGCCCACCTGTTCCTCGTCGTCTTCATCGTCGGAGCGCTCCACATACCAGGACACGGAGAAGCGGGAGTCTCGGGACGACTGGGAGGGAATGCTACAGCCCAGTCGGATAGAGGCGGACTCTTCCACTGTCATGTTTGACTCTGATTCCTCCACCTGCAGTCGAACCTCTGCGGGGGCAGGAAGAAAGTGGAGATGTATTAAAAAGTACAGTATTTGTAGGGCCTAGCAACAGAGCCTCAAATCACAATTTACAATAGGTAGGTCTATATTGCAATCATAGGTCGCAATAATGAGGCTCTTATTCCAGTGAGCTATGCACTAAGTTAAGCATTGTAGCAAAAAAATGTAGCATGGAATATGGACCGGAATACCTTTGTGTTTACACATAGAGTAGACACACAGCAGTAAAATTATCGGCCCGTCTATAGCAGGTGTCATACATGTACAGATGCTGGCACTCTGCTGAGCGAGCCGTCAGATGGCTGACCACAGCCACTTCTCCCATGTTACCAGCATCAAACCTTTTGGTACAGAGCCTTCATCCAGCATGGCTACAAACAACCTCTCTCTAGAGCCATGTTTTATAATGTATAAAAGCCATACATTTTTAAACACACTTCCGTAGCATTTGCAAATAGCCAAACTGCTAGTGCATGCTAAGTTAACTCGCTCATTAACCAGTCCCCCAGGAAAGCTGCTCAGCCTTGCAGCAAATTTTTCCCAGTGGCCACTCACCGCATTGCATTAAAATAAATAAATAAATAAATAAATAAGTCCCCTGTGGCCCAAAAAGCATTTTCCCCATGGACCACCACTGTAAGGGAGATCTCTCTATTTTGAAATTTGATCCACGGAGGCTTTAGGCAAAACTTGTAAAACTTTCATCAAGCCAAGAAAAATGATTGATGAGCTGAGTGGGAACTCGCATGTGGGGCCAGCGGGAGAAACACTACTTCACATATTCAGTGGGCCGCATTCCGCAGAAGTAAACCGACAAGCTAAAACTTTTTTGGCATATGCTCCAGGCGAGCAACTCCAATGGAATGAATAGGTGCCATCTTGGTATCTAGTTATTATTAAAATCTATGCCACCCACTAGCTGCATACGCCAATGTATATCACGTGATACGAGAGATGCAGCACTAGAATTTTAAATTAGTAATACACTGAATTTATTTTGTATAACGTTGGAAGTGTTTTAGGATTTTTATGAACATCGTTAAATATTTTCTTAATTTCATAACTTTTCCAGGAATTTTATGACTGTGGGAATCTTGTTGCTGCAGCTTTTTGGGAATCTGTTTGAGCTAGAGTTAAGATGATTCATCAATTCATGGATAAATGGATCAGAGCAAAATTAATTAACTATCTAGTTCAATGATTGATTACTCGTTAAAGTCCTTTTGTCAAGCAAAAACATTTGCTACTTAAAACTTCTAAAATGTGAGGTCTTCCTACATTTTTTTGACTTGTATGATAAACATATGAACATCTCTGTGTTTTGGACTGTTGATCAGACTAAACAAGTGATTTCAAGATGTCAACTTGGCCTCTGGGAAATTGTGGAAGGCACTTCAGCTTCAAATTAACACTACAAAACGGCAAATAGTTCTGCAAACAGGGACACCAAACTTTTCAATATGTGCCAACAAAAGACAAAAATAAATAAATCCCACAGTGCTGCCCACAGCTATCACCGGTCTTTCAGCTTTCCAGCAAGGTTAGATCCCACCCCACGGCTAACGTGTCTGTCTGTCTGTCTGTCTGTATGGGTATGCTACAACCCTTCAGGGCTGGTACAATGACCCAGTTTTACTGCAGCTAAAAAAAAAGATGGCAGTGGAGACCTGGCTTGCTTGGGCCCCTCTCACACACAGTTTGGAATGGTCTCCTTGTTAAAGCAAAACGGGAAGCAGAAAGGACAGCAGGAGAGCAGAAAAAACAGGCAAATGCTGGCACTCATCTCCCATCATCTCTCCTCCCGACAGACTGATTTCTGGATGGCTTCCTGAGTGAATGCATTTTTTAGCACCTTAATGAATATCCATGGTGTTTATACAGCATATTCTGTTTGTCGTATGTAGATCTGTATGTATAATTTAAAAACCTATATGGTTATGTATAACCTTGTACCTACCTTCCTCAGTAAATGTTAAATATTAACCAGCCACTGATGAGTTTCCACAAACAACCATATGTTAACTTTTAGCTGAAAATAAAGCATGAAAGAAATCAGAGCCTTAAACAATAAAAAGCCTCATATAAGGTGCACATATTCCCAGATCTCTGCATTTGTATGGGCACTGTAGCTCGATTAATTGTTAGAGCAGCGTCAGCTCCTTCGTCTAGATAAAACACAAGCCTTCTCCTTGCCCCACTGGCTCGTGACCAGACGTTTTGATCCTCACGTTTTAGTTGGACAGATGCCATATCAGGGATTTCACTCTGCATTATAAACAGCGCACCTGGCAGATGAGACGTCTGAGAAAAGTCACCTTCAGCTGGTGTGTGGAATAGATACACACAAAAAAGGGTATGTCAAGGATGGGTTCATTGGGTTGTTATTATTTATTTGCATTCAGGGGGGCATGGAGTTTGATTGTAAAGGAGGGGAAACAAGTTTATGGTAAGAGAATGTGGGCCAAGGGAATATTCAATCAAGGACAGGAAAGGAAATGAGATGTGTGTGAGTGTACTTAAGATTACTATCATGAGGTAAGATGTCAGGGCTTGGGTGGCAGTCAGTACATCATGGGTGTGAGCGCTCTGGAAGTTTTTGAGTACTGGACAAGAGGATTATGTTCTCCGTCTGAGCCAGGCTCTTCCCTCTGGCGTGGCATATGACAGCTGGCATGACTTCAACCCATTTTTTACCACCTGAGCTCTGCCCAGGGCAGGTGTAAGGTCATCAGAGCGAGACGGCCTTGAGGCCTTGAGCAGAGCATGTGGGAGTGAGAGGCAAGGCGAGGGCAGAGCAATATGAAATGGGGTGGGTCAGGGGGATGTTTAACAATGGTCAACCGCTCTAAAGCAGGACAGCATGTGGGGCTAAAGTGACAGCTGCTGCTTCCCTGCAGTGGGAATAAATAAACATTTTGCTGAAGACAACAGCAGCTCAGACCGCTTGCTCACCTGGCTGTCTGACCAGAACCTGCGTGAACCCCGATGACTCCCGGGAGAGGCGATACCAGGCTCCATCTGGGTCACTCAGCCACTCTTCCACCAGGCAGTAGTACGTCCCAGAATCGCTGTTCTCTGCCCTGTTCAGCGTCAGCACGTAGAGACGGGGTGACAGCCTCTCAGCTTGCACTCGGCGTCGCAATCTTTCCTCGTCTGCGTAGGCGCCATATTCAAAGGCCCCCGTGCGTTCGATTCTCAGCAGGAGCTCATCAGCTTCTGACCCGGACGCGCGCCTAACATACCACAGCACAGCGTGCTGGGAGTCCTGGCTGGTCTGGGAGCTGATGGAGCAATTGATCCTGACGCGACTGTCCTCCAGGTACACCTGAGACTGGTTGGTCTTTTGCACTCGCAGCTTGCTCTCTGCAAAAGAATTAGAAAAGAGAGAGGGGGTTCATGAGGGAAGGAAAAAGAGCAGACAGTCATTCCTTTGGGTGCAGGAGAATGTGAGCACTGGTGACAGGTACACAATGCAATTTCTGTTTTGTGACAGACGACCTGTAGCTGGGTTTATTTCTGGTGCCAGCAGGGCAAGAAAAGATAGTAGTGCGTGGGTGGGTGAAGCAGGTGACAAAGAGAAAGAAAGAAATACGAGGGAAGGGGAAAGGAGGAGGAAATGTCAGGCAAATCAAAGCTGAGGGGATGGGAGGTCTGTTGGTATCAAAGTAGAAATGTAAGATAAGATGCAGAACAGCAGAAGAGACGGGGGTGAAGGAGAAGGGGGGTGGATTGGGAAGCTGGGCTATGGATATTATTAGGTAACACACAAGACAAAAGCGGGGCAGGGGGTCTGACAGTCTGCCAAAAGTAGGAATAAGGAGAAAGAAGAAGGAACGCATTTATAAAAAGTCAAACCGGGATGGGAAGAGAGCAGATAGGAGAGGGCGGAGATGATAGAGAGGTGTGACTGAGATGTCACGAAGGAGCTGAGGCTGCCCTGAGTGCTGTGACAGGATTGGTTACAGTGACATCGGTTGTGGGATAGGATTAGCTGCAGGTACATCAGGTGTGACCGCGGCCAGGGCCCCGCTGTCAAATGCTTGGGGGGAGGATTAGTTCGGCACAGAGCATGTAGAAAACACACACACTCACACACACATAGCCCTAACATGAGATGTATAAAAACACAGGATCACAAAGCAAAAAAGAATTCACACCATACGACTCTTGAGCATGACATGAGTATATTTTTTTCATGAATAGTTAAGATTTGTCTCAAACAGTCATAATCTCAGGGGTATTTACCTGCACTCAAACAAACACCACGCCGCTTGAATAAATGTCAAACAATTCCAAACGCGTGCATTCCTAGAGGGCATCTCTATCAGCAACATTAACAATCTTTGACCTGAACAATAACGATTTGATTGGTAACACTTTCCAGCTTTGGCACACTGACAACGAACCAAGAGTTGTTTGTTGGCAGAGCCCAATTTGGGGAAACAAATTCCTTTAATTGATCTCAGCGGCAGACAAGCAACTGCAGAATGTCATTTTGCCACCCTCTTCCCACCAAAATGAGGGAGGAATGCCTATTTTCGGATCAGAGCGCTGCGGTGGTTTGTGAATGCAAACAACAACCAATAAATACAGAAGACTCAAATGCGGATTTTAATGCAATTTATTCTTTCTAAATTAGCAAAAAGTGAACACACTTTAGAAATTTCAAGATCCAAAAGCTTTCACCTGTTTCTAATCACATTTTCACCAATGTGGAGATGTGAATGCATAAACTACTACCACTACTGCTATTATTATAAGTCATAGTTCTACTATTATTACACATGTATGATTATTATTAGATACTTATACACATGAATAAATACATATATTGTTATTAGTCATATTTCTATTATTGTCATAGTTAGGGCGAGGACCTCATTGAGATTTTTATTCCTCTTCCTCCAAATGAATCACATTTTTGAGGGGCTTAACATGCTCAAAAACTCATGAAACTTTGCACACACATCACATCTGGTAAAAAATTTCACATTTGGGGGTTTCGTGCTCGGCTGCCAAAAAATGGCTCAGTAGTGCCCCCTATAAAATTTCAACGAAGCAGCCCCCAAAGCTGGGTTCACCGACATGTACGAAACTCGGTAGGCACATGCAACACCCTGAGACGTACAAAAAAGTCTCTTGGAGCCATACTCTAAACCCAACAGGAAGTCAGCAATTTTGAATTTACTGTGCAATTTTTGTGCATTTTTGGCCATTTCCAGGGGTCGTACTTTTACAAACACCTCCGACAGATTTGATCCAATTGGCTTGAAATTTTGTCTGTACCATCTTAAGACCTTGTACATAAAAAGTTGATTAAAGCTTGAGTTTTTGTCAAACCATGTGACCGTGGAGAGGTGTAATTTCCATGTTTTGCCACCAAACAGGAAGTGGTTTGTAACTCTAGCATACATGGTCCAATCTGCCCCAAACTTCACGTTTTATAATTACATGCACATTAGATGTCATGGTGATTGCGTCACCTACTGGCACCAGGAAGTAAGAGTTTTCAGACAGTTGTGTTTTTTTTATTTACAGCAACATGACGTATAATTACTGTGTTCGCCACCACCACATAGTGAACACAGAGAGTAGTACAAAATGTGGAATAAGTCATTCCAACACCTACACTCTATGAAGGATATACCATCTCACTCCTGCATGCAGGGTCTGACTTTCACAGAAATGAACAGTGGCATCAGCCAGCATCCTGCTAGCACCCTCAAGTTGTGTGAAGGTGCGAGGGCCCAATCATTGCTGCTTGCAGCTTTAATTGTAATTGTTATAATTGCTGTGCATGTCTCACTCTTTCTCCCTCTCTCTGTCTTTCTTATGTATCATTTTGCCATATGAATCATCTGTATTGTACTTTAATTATGTTAATCTGTTCTGTACACGACATCTATTGCACATCTGTCTGTCCTGGAAGAGGGATCCCTCCTCAGTTGCTCTTCCTGAGGTTTCGTCCATTTTATTCCCTGTTAAATGGTGTTTTTGGGGGAATTTTTCCTTATCCGCTGTCAAGGTCCAAGGACAGAGGGATGCCATATGTTGTAAAGCCCTCTGAGGCAAATTGTGATTCGTGATATGGCGCTATATGAAAAAATGAATTGAAATAAATAAATCGAATTGAATATATTTGGGCAAGCTTCTTGTTCTGTTTCTGTTTAGACGATAATGGCTTCTTTTGTCAAATGAAAAAGGGTTTTGTAGTAAAAATGTGTCTATATTCCACATTGTAAGGTATAAAAAAAAGTATTTTCTTGGCACTGGAACAAAAACTCAGTTACTGTATTGGCACAACACATTTCAAACAATATCAAGCCTTGATGGGGAATATGTATTTGTAAAAATTGTTTTTTGATTGATTTACTGACACGAATATGACCCAATATAAAACCCTACATTTAATTTTTCTCTCTACGCTTCTCCTGCATTCCGCATCTCCAATTTCATGTCCCCTCTCAGCTCACGATAAGCTTTACTATGACTGACTGACTGATTGACTGCCTAGGGTCACAGCCATCTGCCCTGAAAACCTCACCCTCACAGATTGCTGTGCGTGCTCAAATGATCGCTGTTTGTGATTCTGCACAGTTGCTCTATACATACAGTCCGTACACATTCGGTTGAAATCAAAGGATGCATGGCTGCAAGGCACCACTGGACCACCCTGTTGTGCCACGGCATTTCAAGCTAGCATTTGAAATGAGTCATTATCATTGCCTGGGTACCCACTAGAGACTTGGTAGGAAGCCTGACAATCTCCCCATCCGGAATTACTGCCGAGCCCTGCGGAATCCTGGCAATCTTTTTTTTTTTTTTCTGTGCAGGAGAATTACCTCCGAACCTCCTGAAGTGGAACCATGCAGGATTGGATTGGCACAGGACAAAGCAATTCTCTGCCGCTCACCATTTGAAGTTTGAATCCGCAGCCAGGAGAAAAACTGGGGGCTGAAAGCCTGTTGCCTTACATCAGTGTTTACAGAAATGCCTTTTCAAAGCTAAAATAGGCTAATTATTCAAGCCCTATTAGGTAGCATCATGAGCTATTACAAGTTATCATAACTTAGCACTGACTCAAGCAGAGACAGACGGACAAATAAAATCTAAGCGCACTGGGGTGGAAGAGAAATAACAGGAAGATAAATATGGTCTGTCTATGTCCCAAAACAACCTTAAAGTCTCCACTCCATCCTGAATCCTTTCACTGTGCAATGCTCCAGTAAGAGAACAGCGGCTTCACAGACCAGCCTGTCACATCCTCTGACACGTGTCCCTTCCCTCTGAGAGTGAGGTTTCTTCCTTCAGCTACAGCACGGCCATCTTTCCCAGTTACATCAATGCATCTGCTGACACAAGCTGCAGAAAAAAATCTATATGATGTATATAATTTTGTATATGAGGCACTGATGAGGGCAGATTGAGGGAAGAAGACCCAGCGTAGGGAGCCACTTCAATCATACGTCGTTCACAAGCCTGCTCATCATATATGTGCATTCCTTCAGCAGCAGGAGTAGTGCTGTGTTGTTGTCTGTCAGAGAGGCTGTCAATAACTATTTTAAGTGTGATTACATGTTCTCTGCTACTGTATTTCGTTAATGAGCCTCAAGAGTGCATCCACAAAGTAAGACAAATCCGTAATTGGAATCACTTGTTCTCACTGATTTGCATTAGTTCATGTGCCAGACAAACCTGGCCTCGGATAGGATCAAAGTGCATTTTATATCTGCAGCCTTCAATCTCTCTTTTTTATGTTGGCCAGTTTATTTTCTCCACAGGACAAAAAAGCAGCAAAGTTGTGTCGCTGTATAATCAAGAAGGAGAGAAAAACTCATAATCATTTTTTTAGGTTAACCTTGAGCATAATTGTTGACAGCTCCTCATACACATCACCTGCCTCTGTGGTTTCCAGGGCAACCTTGTCTCCGTGAACAACGTGCCATGGTTAAGATAACGTTTAAGGACCTTGCTGGTCTTATTTTTCCTGAAAGAAAAGGCAGACTCAATTAAACAAGGCCAGTGCTTTTTTGTTTACATCACTAGGCGTGATTAAAGAAAATTTAATTAAAAGTCCAATTCTTGCTCTGCAAAATGCGTGAAAAATATTACATTGGGTGGAACGCAGATGTAATGATATGAGCTGCATCCAGGCAGGCTGCCTCTTACCCCCTTAACTATCTCAGCTCCACTGGAGGTACTTGCGTTTCAGCAGTTTGCCGGGCATGTAGTGTCATTACGGCGCACACAAACACACACACAGATCCACACAGTACAGTCACTAATTGGCTCATTGAACCCTTGTCTCAACCCCTTCCCATGTGTGCCCAATTTGTCTCGTTTAATAGCTACAGGAACTGCAG